GGGAACATAACTATTCCCGCTGCATCTTTATCTTCCTATTTTAAAAGAGGGGAAAGAAGTAGTATTTGACTAATAAGAAATTCATGTTGCCATCTCTTGCAGCTATTTTGGTATACCTTTCTGTAAATTATGTCCAACTACCAGAGGGCTAAGAAGAAATCACTCATTTATTAATTCGTTATTTTATTTATTCATTCAATAAATGTTTAGAGTTTCCTATGATTTCTTATGTATCCTTATAAATCAAATCTTGAGCACAGTTGCTAGCATAGAGGAGACATTCAAAGTTTTTACTAAATTGCTTTTAATACACATTCTAGATACTACCTGCTTTGGTATTGTGCAGAACAAAGAGCTACTCTATACCTGGTTATGGCCTTCAAGAAATTTACGATTATTTTTTGGTTAAGATAGACAATTAATATGTTAACAAAAATATGAGTTAAATTGCCTTAGTTGACACTGCCACAATGTCAGGAAGCAATTGTTAGTCAAGAGTTAAATAAGCTGAAGTGCTTAAAAGTACGATTCAGTAAAAGGAGGAAATGGTTCCCAAAATCTCATGGTCATCGCAGGGGAGGGTGGCCAGCCAGGTCTCAGTAGCAGCCCAGTGCCATCAGAACACCTGGGGAGGCAGTGCCTGCTCTTATACGCACCTCTGGTTTCGGTCCCGTTGTTGGTCAGATTAAGTAGTAAATATCTCCTAACATATCTCATCAAATGAACACTGACAATCTGAAAATGTCCCCAAAATGTTAGAGAAACACCTAAAAGCCTTGGGCATTTTTTCTAATGATCTCTATTTTGTTTGTTCCTCCTCAGTCATCATCCTGCGGGTAATGGGAGAAGCAAAGGGGTTTAGTGATGCTCAAAGGCCATTACTACTATGGAGGGAGGATTTATCCTTTCATACCCTTGCCTCTAGTTTATTTGATTCTCTTTCATTACTTTACTTTCCTGTATGGTCCCTCTTTTTCCCTTCTCATTTTCTGTTCCCAATAAATAGTAGCTCAAAATCTCAATTCTCTTATCAAAAGTGAGGGTTTGCTCGCCAGAAGAAAATACATTCCCAAGATACCTTGATCTGCTCACATCTCCCCTAACAATATCCCAGAAGATGTTTTGTGTTAATTCAAATATTCAGGCAGTGGCTGTTTAAACAGCTTGGTTTAGAGTTCGAAGGCAGGGGTAAGGAGGTTGTAAGTTTCGATTAATATTTCAGACTCTTGATACTATCATTGGTTGGATCCAGACACACAAATGTTTCCTAAGATTCTAACCCCTAGAATTAATATATTACTTTATTTACAATGACTGTTTTAATGGATGTTGGTATAAATATTCCTTATTGATGTGGTAATGAAGTTGCATTGGAAGTTAAAAAATACACAGAGGGAGAAACATCCCCAAAACTTATTCTATTCTTGTTTTTCCCATTGCAACAAAAGGTAGGAGACATTTTCTAAGGGTCCCAAGGTACAAATATGACTTACATAAACAGTGTAACAGGATTCAGATGAGTTGTTTCATGAACAAATATGAGAACCTTCCTCATTTTCCTTTGCATAAATTCTTGAGAGTAAAAGCTACATCAATTATGAAGAATCTTAAACTTCTCCCAAAGCCCTATCGATAAGCACCTAAACCAACTTGATAAATGAACCGATTGTTAAGGAACACAAAGAAAGAGTGGCAGGAAAATGTCTGGAAGGTTTCCTACCAAACTACTGTTACCTCTGGAGTGGAGAAACAAAAAAACAGTACTGTAGACATGCTTCAACTCTCTACGGACTCTAAAATCTTATCTCTCGCTAGGAGGATTAGAATCACAAGGCCACCATCTCCACAGAGTGTGGAGTAATGGATTTTCTGAATTGGGTTTGTCAGCTACAGATGTTTAGAAGTTTCCTCAAGAGGCTATTTCCATAAATAAACAGTCTTCCATGCGAACAACTTTTTGTTTCCATCAAACCTAAGCTAATATTGCTCTTCCTTCTCTTGGCCATTAACATTCAGGAACAAAGTCTGTTCTCTTGGATGTGCACTGCTCGGGTGAGAAGACGTTTCGTGTTAGAGTAAGCTTGCAAGCTCTCATTCCCCCTGTCAAGGTTCTGGAGAGACCTCTGAGACAGAGGAGGGTGGGCAGAAACATGAATAAGTACTTGGATACTTAAAAATTCAAGTACAAGTGCTGGGTAAAATGCTGCTTTTCATGTTAAGGCTAAAAATGGGTCAACATTTTCACAGCAGTCTTTTCTCATGGTCAAAAGTCACCTGGTGATTTCTGTATTACCAAATCCAAAAGCTTCGACCTGTCTCTTCTTTATGGCCTCTTTGCAGCAATTGACACTATTGAACTGACACTGAAATCCTTACCTTTTGGCTTTTGACACATTTCACTTCCTGGTTCTTCTGTCTTCTTTATCGTCTTCTACTTATTTTACTTGTCTTTCTTCTTTTTCCTAAATAGGGGATCCCCTGGGTTCTGTCTTGGGCTTTGTGTCTTCATACTCCCTCCCTTCTCCCACCATCCTGTAATCCAATGGCTTCCATGGTAATTCTCTGCACAGTCGCGGTAAGAACGGTCATGTGCTGAGGCTCCACACTTGACTAGGCACTTTTTACATGTCCTCTCGCTGAGCTCACAACATGCCCATGGGCAATGCAGCAGTCCCTCCATTTTTTAGATGAGGAGGCAGAGGCTCAGGCAGGCTCCAAGCCTTCCCCATGATATCCAAGACCCTCTGGAAAATATGTGATAGAGCTAAGGTCTGATCTCTCTGGCTCCAAGACTCACACCATGGCCCCTGCACTGTTCCTCCTAACCCACGACTCCTGGCTTCCAGTCTCACTTCAAGGTCAAAAAGTTGTCTTCTCTGACCAGCTTCTCTTCCTAAGAAAGACACTTTCTTAGGAAACTGACCCACCACATTTCTCCCAACGCCCAGGCTCACAGTGTACAGTGTCTCAGGCTCATCTTGCTCCCTTCACCTCCCCTGCTGCTCCATGTCTCTCACCCCTAATCTCATCCACTGTCGGACACAGTCTCTGACTTCAACTTCCTCCTCTCCAACCAGCCTGCACACCACTGCCTGACTCTCGTCCTAGGCCACATTATTCCCGTAGATATAACCTTTAGAGGCTTCCATTGCTGCTGAAACAACATCCAAATGCCTACCTTTATTATTCAAAAGTCCAATCTGCATTTTCTGTCCTGTCTTGTAGAGCTTCCTTACAAGTGGACCACGCGCCAGTGAAACTGGGCAACTCACGATCACCTGCGTCTACGTGTACCACTTTTAAGCCTTTGTTCAGACTGCTCCCTCATATGTGCAGGTACTCCCCATCTGCACAAACCCTGCTCTGTCTGGTGTATTCCACCCCCACGCCCACACATCAATTCCCCTCCATCTTCTCCCAGTTGGATGTCACACTAGATTTTTAAGTCTTCACAGGTTTTCATTTGTACTACCCTTGGGGAATTTGGCACATTCTACTTTTGGTTTGTTATTCCTCCCTCCTTCCTACTATGCTCTGAGTTCTTCAGTAGAGGGGAATGTATCCAACTCAACATTTTATAGTCCAAGGGACACAACAGGGGCCCCCCAAAATACATGCTGATTAAATTTACTCAAACTTTGATAAAATGTAGCAATGTGATGTCACATTTTAAATGTAATGCTTTACATGCCTTTTCCCCCAGCAAACAGAAATGAAATGTTTCTTGTAAATGAGATCAAGAATGTGTAAAGGATGACTATGAATGCACATCATTTAAATCATTACCTTTTTTTCCTAATTTAGAAGGCAGAGAGGGCATAAAGGCAAGAGTGGAGAAAGAGAAACAATATTAGGTTCTGCTCACTGCTAAAGGAAGAACACAGAGAAAAAAACTTATAGTAGGATGCAAGCCACTAATAACAAAGCAAGAAAAATGCTAAACTTTAAAAAACTCACTTTACATGTAGCTCACCTGTGACATGTAAATATTGACAGGTAAGGTAAACTATTATTATATATTAACTTGTACTTATTAATATGTTATCCTCCAAAAATGTTCTTTGTTTTCTCCCTATGCTGTAGCCTATGTTTTTCTCAGTGGATGACAAGCTGGCAAGGGAAGGATATAGAGCCACTGTTACCTAGCTCTGCTGACACTTCTGCATTGGTGCTTACTACATTTTATCCTTAAAACGAAGCAGCAAGGAGGACCATGACGTGTATCCTAAGCCCTCTTTCTCCAATAGTGAACACAATTTTGTGATGATTTTTGAGAAAAGACATTCAATATATAGCTACGTTTATTACAAGAATGCAAAAATATGTATCAGATACAATCATGCTCACTAAACGTGTATCTAGATATACTAAAGTTGTAACTTTGCTTTCCCTTTAGGCCAACTAGTTTTAATTTTCTGAGACAGGAGAAACTTCAAATCATGGACAACCACACGCTCAGTGCTGATCTTAACGAGGAGTTACCAGCGACTGGATGTGGCAGGATCAACGCAAATCCATCAGCAACAGTGGCAAATCAATCCAAAGCGTGCGCTGACCATCATACTCTCCCCAACACAATTTAATTTCCTAAACTCTTGATTTTTGAAAGTCAAGGAGCTTCTTAAAATATGAATCTTCTGCTCATATTTAACAACAGGGAAGTTCCAGATTTTGGGAAGTGGGACATGAGCAGTGACAGAAGGCATGAGGTCAGAAGGTGACAGACATGGCTGAGGTGGTGCTATTCACTGCACAGGGAATCCTCCAGAAGATATCATCTGTGCACTGGAGACTTAGATTTGGTTTGAATGACCAAGAAGTCTACTGTGAACCAATGATTTAACCAGTGTAGAGGCTCTTCAACGATGGACAGGCCCGTTTAAAAGTTAACAAAAAATGATTTCCTAGAACCTTTATATTTTGAGAGGAAGGTAGGGTAGAGAAGATGAAAGTATACAAACATGACACAGTCACAGATTTAAACCCCCCTGATCACTCACCACAATCATTTGAGCCACATAACTCTCAGGTCCGGTGTATTCTGTTGGGTCTTTAACTTTCACCAGGACTATGAAGTACAAATAATGCCACATATTGTGTTCCGACTTAATGTGCTCCTCAAAGGAAACAGTTTTATTGTCAAACTTGTCCCTCTCAAGTCCTGCAAAACACAGGAAACACAATATATGTAATTTGTCATTTAACCAGCATTTACTTCTTAGCATAAAAACAAAACAAGGTAATTATTGTGGAAAAATGCTTTCTGCAAGGGTGTGCCAATTTAAAATGCTATGATTAAAAACAACACAGTACACAAGACCTCCAGAAAAGAGGCTATAGTTTATAGATTTCTTCCCAACTAACATTTATTTTTTCCCCATGGATCCTTGGAAATGTACAGTCCTATTATAGATGTAAAACTTGAAGATAACTTAAAATATAGTCATATCAAAATTGTCACATTAAACTGGACCACAAGTCTAAGAAAAAGAGGTAAAAATGATCATGCAAGAAAAGGCATGCTTTCTAATCAGGACAGGAAAAACAATGTCATTTTATCCAGGAACTTTGATTAAAAGAGGGAAGGCAACTGAGAGAGTCGTCCTCCGAAACCACGTGTAATCAGTGAAGGGCTCGGGAACGCAGACAGCCACCTGCACCCTGAGGACAGCTAGGACTGCCACACTGCTCCAGCCCTCGAGAGCACGGTGTCATCCCTGAATCCTCTCTGTCTCTCACATGCTGCATCCAATCCAGGTTGAAATGCTTCTGGCTCTACCTTCACAATATATCCAGAACCTGCCCACTTCTCGCCACCTCCGCTGCTGCACTCGGGACTGAGCCATTGCCGTCCCTCACTGGATTACTGCTACAGCCTCCCAGGCCTCCCCGTCTCCGCCTGTACTCTCCAGAGCCCTTTCTCAACACAGCAGCCAGCAGGATCCTTTAAACACCTCGGTGGGACAGTCTCTCCTCTGTGGCAAATCCTGCAGTGTTTTCTCACTTCCTCAGGATAAAAGGCCCTACTACGGCCTTCAATAGGGTTGATAGTTAAAATACAGGATGCCCAGTTACGTTTAGATTTCAGGTATACACGTATGTCCCATGCAATATTTATTTGCTAGAGTCTATGTGATTTGTCCTCCTAGCCACACCAAATTTAACTTCTACTACTCCATTCACTAACTGCCATCAACCATACTGGCCTCTTTGCCATTCCTGGAACACAGATTCCTGCTTTGGGGCCTTAGGACTGGTTGTTTCCTCTGGTCACAAAACTCTTCTTTTTGATATTTCTTTGAATAACTCATTCACCTCCAAGTTTTTGCTGAAATCTCACCTTGTCAATGTGGCTTAGCTTGATTACCCTATTTCACACTACTGTGGGTCCCTTCCTGTTTGCTGACACTCTAGATCACCTGTTCCCTTTTCTCCTCTTTTTTCTATGGTGGTTATCACCTACTAACAGACTGAATATAGCCATAATCAAGTTGTTAAATCACAACACTAAGATAAAGAGGTAAAAATGACTGTGCAAGAAAAAGGCTGCCTGCTAATCAGCCCAGAAGCAATGTTATTTCATCCAGGAATTTAGATAAAAGTTCATTATGTTTATTATTCATTGTATGTCTCTCCTCCCACTGGAACATAAGAGATACCTGGGCAGATACAGTTGGTCCCAGTGGCTTAGAATCATGTCTGACACATAGTAAACACTCAACAAAATACTGATTGAGTGAATTGTGAATATTTCACTAGTAAACATTGTTCTACTAGGATGGCTATAATCAAAAACAGATAATAATCACCTTATTCCTGTTAGAATGGCTTTTATTAAAAAGTCCAAAAAAAAACCAACAGATGCTGGTGTGGATGCAGAGAGAAAGGAACACTTATACACTGTTGTTTGGACTGCAAATTAGCACAACCTTTATGGAAATCAGTATGGAGATTCCTCAGAGAACTATAAGCTGGCCTACCATTCAATTCAGCAATCCCACTACTGGGTATCTACCCAAAGGAAAAGAAGTCATTTTATAAAAAAGACACCTGCACCCAAATGTTTATTACAGCACAATTCACAATAGCAAAGATGTGGAATCAACCCAAGTGCTCACCAATTCATGAGTGGATTAACGAAATGTGGTACATGTACACAGTGGAGTACTACTCAGCCATAAAGGATGAATTAATACCTTTTGCAACAATTTGGATGGAACTGGAGACCATTATCCTAAGTGAAGTATTCCAAGAATGGAAAAACAAACACCACATGTACTTGCTATTAAATTGGAACTAACTGATGAGCACACATATGCACAAAGGAATGTAAAACGCAGTGGAAATCAAGCAGGGGGGACAAGGGAGGAGGGGAAAGCCAAAAACCTACCTAACGGGTACAACGAACACTATTTGGGTGATGGGCACACTTATAGCAGTGACTCAAGCATTACAAAAGCAACCCATGTAACCTAAAACATTGGTACCCCCTTAACACTTTGAAATAAAAAATTAATTAATTAATTTTAAAAAAGAGACAATAATATGTGTTAGTGAGAATGTGGAAAATAGGAACCCTCCTACGTTGCTAATAGAAATGTAAAATATTGCAGGCACTTCAGAAAACAGTTTGACGGTTGCTCCAAAGGTTATACATGGAGTTACTATGTAATTCAGCATAATCCACTCCTGGGAATAGGCTCAAGAGAAATGAAAATATATGTTCACACAGAAACTTAGACATGAACGTTCACAGTAGCATTATTCATAACAGCTCAAACTGGAAACAACCCAAATGTCTACCAACTGATGAAAAGATAAGCAAAACATGTGACATCCATACAACAGAATAATTTTCTGCAGTAAAAAGGAGTGAAGTATTGATATATGTTACTACATGAACTTTGAAAACATCATGCTAAGTGAAAGAAGCCAGTCACGAAAAGTCACGTATTATGATTCCATTTATATGAAATGTCCAAAATAAACAAATCTATAGAGGCAGAAAGTAGATCAGTGGATGCCTAGGACTGAAGAGGATGGAAGGCTGGGGACAGGGTGATTGCTAAAGGGTATGGAGTTTCTTTTGGGGACAATGAAAACGCTCTAGAATTGATTATAGTGATGGATGCACAACTCTGAATATACTGAAAACCACTAAATTTTGTACACACTAAGCGGGTGAATTGTCAGGTATGTGAATTATATCTCTATAAATGTGTTAACAAACAGAAAGAAAGAAAATATTAAAGCAGATTTCCCAGAATTCAGTTCAAACATCTACTGGTTGCAAGATAATAGGGCTATAAAAATAACATTCCTACTATTAATTAATCCGTAATATGGTAGAGGAAACAGACAACTTGGGCTATATTCTGGAATGGCATAAAAGGAGGGCAAAATAAATTCTGACTAGGTATATTTTAAAAGGTTTCAAAGATGTGTAAAGCTTTAAAAATCCTGTCTCAGAACACAATTATGGCAAGTGGAGAAGAGGTGAATGGTAATAAAAGGTACTTAACTTTTATTGCACACCTATTTATGCTGCCAACTATAAAGACATCTAAATGTGCTATTATAATTACAATAATCCAATATGACCACTTAACACGTGAGGAAATAGATTCAGAATGATTCAATAAAGTGTCTAAGTTAGCACCTCTAGTTAGTGGAAGAGTCAGTATTTAAATAAAAACATTTCTGACTCCAAAGCCCATGTCCATTTGCCATCTGGGCAAAGGAAATGTCGTGACAAGGCTGGAGATGAAAGTAGATGACCTGATTGGGGGAATATCAGTTTCTCTAGTGTGGCCGAAAGGGAATATTTGGAAATAAAGATGAAATGGTACATTTGGCACAAACTATGAAGAGCTTCCAACTCACAGCTAGGGTGCTGCACCTTATCCTGAAGGCTTCCAAGTGGAGACACGCGTGTTAGAGCTATACTCCAAGTTGTTCCTGGAGCAGCACTGATTGAGAAGACGACTGAACGGGAAGAGACTGAGGCTCGAAGACCAGGGGACCAGGGCAGTGGAGGGAAAACGTGAAAGAGGGGGAACTGCTTGTCTTTCATCTTCCTAAGTTCCTGCTGTCTAAGCTTTATTGTTCATTCCCATGGTTCTAACCATCACCGTGCTGACGATTTCTCAATCTTTATCCACAGTACTGACCTTTCTTCTCAACTTCAGTTTCTATTTCCAGCTGCCTACTGGGTAAATCCACCTGGATAGCTTGTGGGCATGTCAGACTTAACTCATCAAAAATTGGTTTCTTTAGCCCTTCTTCTTTGCTTCTGTTAAGGAAGTCCCCGTCGACAAGGGAACTTGAAGCCATCCTTAGACTCATGCACTGATAAGCCACTCTGAGCACATTCCTTGTAGTCACTCTTTGTCACCATTTTCCAAATGCCAAGTCTTCTGAAAACCCTCTGCCTCCATCTACTCTGTCTTCTGCCGTCCAGGTTTTCCTTCTTCAAGACTCAGTTCAACCACATCCACCACTGACTCCCACAGACACAACCAGTGGGTTAATCTGTCCCTACAATACTTCACTATGAAAATTTGTTTCTTTCTGTCTTAGGCTCTCCCACTTTACTGTCTGAGTAATTTTTGTATTAGTAGCACCTGGTATAATGTCCGGAAAACAGCAGGCATTCCACTAAAGTTGACCGGACAATTGAAAAAATGAATAAGAGAGATTGAAGAGGCATTTTAGAATGAAAACTTGAGAGGGATTGATGTTCAATTAGAGGTATAGATTTAGGGACAGGGGGAAATCAAGAATGACCCTGAATTTTCTGACTTGAAGGACTGGGTTTATGGTAGTATCACTACAGCGTGATATTTTATCCTTATAATAGGAATTCTGACCTATCATCAAATCTTTTCTCCATGTGTTGTTCTGTAACACCTGGTTTATCAACATCTACTTCTCACTGGATTTCCAGCCTTTAGTAATTCCAAATTAATAATTAATAGGGATATGAGGGCAAGCATGTTTCTGCACTTACTGCTTCAGCTCCGATCTGCTAATCTTCACCCTATCACAACTGCCTTCTGGATCACTGGCAACTGTTTTCTGAGTCATGTTTGACTCTCAAACTTCCGGTCATTGCCTTCAAGGATGGCAAAGTCCAAACTTCTCCTACTGCCTGTCACAGAA